GGGCGCCGCGGCGCTGCGAGCGGGGCCGGCTTCGGGCGCCGCGGGCTCCGGGCCGCGCTTCCTTGGCGCCGGCCCGGCCGCCCCAGACTTTGATCCTGCGAGCCGGGTGCACGTGGGGGCGGCTGGGTGACAGGTCGGCGCCCGGGAGGGGCGGGCCGTGCGGGCGGTGCGGGCCGGCGGGGGCGCGGCCGGGCCGAGTTCAGGACTGACTGGCTTGCTGGGGGCCCAGCCCCGGCCTCGGGAACACTTTCCATCCCGGGCCCCCCGCAGGGCCGCGTCCCCGGGGCAGTCGTGTGCAGTCGGCCTGCCTGTCGCCGACTCTAAGGTGTGGGGTGCAGACTCGGGCGGGAGCCTGCTGCGTGACTTGGGCAGGTCACCTAGGCTCGCTACACCTGTTCGTCAGTGCAGGGAAGGGCCGGGCTGGTGGAACTCTGCTGCTTCCTTCTAGCTAAAATTCCAAGGCTCTGTGAGTTCACACTATTTATAGGTACCAACCTCCGAACCCTTGTGTGACTGCCTGGAGGGGGTGAGGCGGCCGGAATACAAAAGAAAGGAGGCGGGAGGCGCCGCGAACCGAGCACCCTTCTGAGCTGGAGTTGGTCCTGTAAGTGAGAACAGGGCGAGTGCACAGCTATGTAGGCGAAGGTCCCCCAGAGTGGTGGCTAGAATCAGAGTGGCCTTTGTGGCCACCAACCCTGACGAAGGAGGCCCTAGGTGCCAGCCATTGCATTGAGCTGTGTGTGGTCGGCAGTGTTCTTTTGCCGGAGAAATCCTTTGTTTTGTTTTTCGAGACATTTTCTCTGTGTAGCCCTGGCTGTGCGGGAACTCGCGCTGTAGACCAGGCTGGCCCCGAATTACGGGGATCTGCCTGCCTCTGCCTCCCGAATGCTGGAATTAAAATTCTTATCCCAAGATTGCCTGCGGCCTACACGATGTTTCTCGTTGCCACACCCTGACTGGAAAGCTAAACTGGGTCCTTGCGTTTTGTCTCCTCTCAGGAGGAAAGCCTGGAGAAAGGCTTCTAAGGTCGTAAGGGAATAAATGGCAGAACTTAGTGCTGGGCTGGATATCGGAAAGGAGGAGAGCTGAAGGGAGTTAACAGTTTTGAAACCGGCAAGGGAAAGACTGCCTTAAATGGCATTTCATTGTAAGGAACGGGACGAGAAGCTGTTTTCAGGAAAACACTGCACTCCACTTGGATGCTGAGTTTGAAGTAATGCTTGGATTGGTGGACTCTGGGACTCCAGAAGTCACCACACATACACACAAGTGTGAGATGCGTTTCCACACTTCTAATCTCCCTGCAATAGAAGCCTAAATTGGGAAGCCCCTGAAGGTGGCTGGAGAGATCGGGACCATCTTGCCTCCTGCTGTGCCCTTGCCCCCATGGGCACTAAACCGACCAGACTGAAAGCCTTAAAAGTCATCTCCACTTGAAACTGAGAGGTTTCTCTGCCTCTCCTTTAGGCTGTGTCCCAGTGTGCTTTATTTCCTCATCCCCTGGTGGGGTGTGTGGCAGTCACAATGGCCTGCCGGCTTCAGAGAGTGAGGCCGGGGCAGGGGACCAGCTCAGTGACTCAGTGGTTGCCAAGGCCCTGGGCTTGAGGGAACACATGGCAGCACAACTGTGTGGTCCAAGTTACCTTCTCCCTCTCATTTTGTGACCCTAGCTGGCCTCAAACTCAGAGCCCTGCTTTCTGCACCTCCGATGGTTAGGATTAAAAACTGCACATCCATGGCCAGGCCTTCCCTTCCCTCCTGTGGGCAAAGTAGTTCAACAGTTTGACTCAAGTTTGGCTTTTGTTTCTTGGGGTTTTTTGTTTGTTTTTGTTTTTCCTTTTCCATGAGTTGCCTCAGAAACTTAGGTTTCTTCTTGTTTGGTTTTTGTACCTGAGGCAGGATCGCCCTGTGTAGGCCAGGCTGGCCTTGAACTCACCCATCCTGAGGAGCCACCACTGTCCGCTTGTCCTAGCAGTTTTGCAGAGGGTGTTGGCGGGCCTCGTGAGCTCTTAGCAGCACACCTTCAGAATGTGTCCCTGGTTGAGAATTTGCCTGTAATTGGCTTCACATCTAAGCTGATTAAATCTTGCACTCTTTAGAGATAAAATACTGGCAGTTTGGAAATCGTGGACATGACTGAAAGGCAGGTGTAACAGGCATTGTGCACCATGAACCTGTTCCGGCTCCTGGTGGAATTTGGGAAGAATCTTACGGGCTTGAGAACGCGCCAAACACAGCTGAATTTATATTGTCAGCAATCAGTGTAGGCAGGTGTAGTGGTAACTCCCTTTTAGTCCCTGCCCTTTGAAGACAGAAGGGGGAGGTCTCTGAATCAGATGCCCCTGAACTATGTAGATGAACTGTGCTCATCTACATAGTTCAGGAAAGCGTGGGCACCTGTAGGGCCAAAAGGATGGCTCAGAGCCTGTGGCTTGATCCCAGGGTCAGCATGGAGGAAGGAGAGAACCAATTCCCTCAAGTTGTCCTCTGACCTCCACACACACAATAGTTTTTGTTTAAGTTTTAGAAATAGTTGTATAAACTGGGCCACAGAACCCTGTGAAAGCCCAGATTGCGTTTGACTTGGGTTGACACTCAGTCCCCTCCAGTGTTCACTCTCAGAGGAAACCTCGGGGAAATCTGTCTTTTGGAAAGCACTTGAGTAGTTAGTACATAAGAAGTGAAGTCTCTGGCAACAAGGCGAATGCCAAGGTTTGATATTTGTTTAGCTGCCCCCAGAGGAATAAGCAACAGAACAAAGAGTAAACTAGGAACAATGAGGCAGTAAAACTCAGGAATAGCACAAAAGGTTTCCGAGACCCAAGGGAAGCTGTCAAGAAGCCTTGAGCAGGAAGCCTGCTGGAAGAGAGGGGAAGCCCAACCGAGTGGAGGAGAGACCTGGCCGGCTCAGGGCATCCAGCCTTTGTCTCCCTGGTGGAACTGGAGGACCTTGGTGAGGCCAGCAGCAAAGAAATGGTTTTTTCAGGAATACGGAAAATGGGGCTCAAGTTCTGCCGTCACGGCAGGAAGTTAAGGCACCCATACGCAGGCTTAGCAGGAGCATCTGGGAGCTCAGGCTGGTCAGCCTAGCGGCTCTGGAGGCCGAGGTAGGAGGCTGGAGAGTTCTGGGCCTGCATGGACTGCACAGAGAGTTCAAGACCCGCATGAGCAGCTTATCCAGAACTGGTTAGGAAACGGTGAAAAGGGAAGCAGGGCCGGAGCTTGGTGGTGCGCTGCCCGCCTGGCGTGCAGAAGGCCGTGGTCCCCAGCACCACAAGGACAGACAGTGGTGAATTTTGTGTTACGGTTATCTGTGTGCAGAAATGAGTGTAGAGGCTCAAGGGACAACAGCTGGGAGCGGGTTCTACCACAGAGACCCAGAACTGAGCTTTCGTTGTGGCTCACAGTGGCGGCACCTCCATCCCGAGCCAGCCCACCCACCCTGCAGAAACAGGAGGCTCGGACGGCTTCCATCACAGTGGGGCTTCGTTTGTTTTTGTTTTAATGTTTATTCTGAGACATGCTTGAGGTACAGCCCAGGCTATCCTTAAATTAATGATCCTCCGGCCTCAGCATCCCCAGTTCTGAGCTCACAGGTATGAGCCATCACACCTGTGTCTCTTCCTGTCCCACTCTTGAGGCTGAGAGGTCACAAAGCACAAAGGCTATGTTTTAAACAGAAGTTGTCAGGCACAGGGGGTCAAGGGCAGCTTGGACTCATCATGTCCCCTCCTCAAAAATGAGATAATTAAAGCATCTCTTTCAGGGAATGCAGCTCAGAGTCCTGCGAGCACATGTGGGTGTGGCCCCCAGCACTTCGTAAACCTGGCTTGGGGTCACATGCCCGAGCGCCTGGCATGTGGGGAGAGGTGAGGAGGCAGGAGGGTCACAGCGTCACCCCCACAGCTGGGCTTTCTGAGCCCTTTGCACAGAGGACACTGAGCAGAAGAGGGTAGTGCTGTGATGGAAGACTTCGTGGAACTGGTCCTGAAAAAGCTCCTGTGTGTCTTTGGCCACGTTGTTAAACATCCCTGAGTCTTCCTTGCTGCGTCTTTGGGGCGAGGGATGCTTGTCTTTGGGACAAGGTGCTGGGGATCAACCCTTGGGCTTCCTGGTCGCTGGGGAACTGCTGTGCCTTGAGCTACAGCGTAGTGACAGGTGAGACAGACTCTCACCACGTTGCCCAAGCAGGCCTTGAACCTGTGAACCTTCCGCCTCAGCCCCTCTGACACCAGGCCTAGCAAGGTGGCTGGCATCAAGAGATGAGGAAGACGAGATTCACTCACCTGGTCAGTGTTCTTGGGTGGGCCTTTTAGGCCACTTTTCCTTAGGGTCCTTGTGAACCCAGGGCTGAGTTCAGACCCCCTTTCCCCCCTCCACCGCATTTCCCTTCCAGGAACCTGGTTCCCAGGGACACAAAAGGACAGTTGCCAGCCAGCTCCCCAGCTGGCGCCCTTGTCTACAGCCTCCTGATTCTACCGAAGGCTGCTTGGGAGGACAGAGCTGGTCCTGGGAAGGGACCTTCTGTGGAGGCCTTCCCAGCCTCACTTCTAGGTTGTCAGTCCCTGTACCAAGGCTACCTTCCTGCTCTCAA